TTTTCCAGTAGCAAGAATAGCTAGTATTAGAATGTTACTTGCCTTGGCCTCAATCCAAAAATGGATAATTCACCAAATGTATGTTAAAACAGCATTTCTGAATGGTGATTTGGATGAAGGGGTATACATGAAACAACCTGAAGGTTTTGTGGTCAAACAGCAAGAAAACAAAGTATGTCGGCTTGTAAAGTCACTATATGGCTTAGAACAAGCTCCCAAGCAATGGCACCAAAAATTTGACCAAGTAATACTTACTTGTGGATTCAAAATACATGAGTCCGATAAGTGCATATACAGTAAGTATTCAAATGGTAAATGTGCTATAATATGTTTGTATGTGGATGACATCTTAATCTTTGGTACTGACTTAAAACAAGTCGAGAAAACCAAAAGTTTGTTGTCTAGAAAATTTGAGATGAAAGACATGGGTGAAGCCGATGTCATATTGGGAATAAGAATTAAGAGGGAGCAAGATACAATCATGCTCACTCAATCTCACTATGTCGAGAAAATTCTTAAAAGGTTTAATCATTTGGATTGTAAACCGGTTTCGACTTCTATTGATTCTAACATACATTATGTTAAGAATGAAGGGAAGTCTATATCTCAAAATGAATACGCATAAGTAATCGGATGCTTGATGTATGCAATGACGTGTACTCACCCAGATATTGCTTATGCAGTGGGTGTAATGAGTCGATATACAAGTAATCCAAGTAGTGAACACTGGGAAGGTGTAAAAAGAATCCTTAGGTACCTAAAAGGCACCAAAGACTATGGGATATGCTACAAAGGCAATCCTCCAGTCATAGAAGGATATTCAGATGCTAGTTGGATAACAAACAAGGATGATCACTCATCTACGAGTGGTTGGATATTTTTGTTTGGTGGTGGAGCAGTTTCTTGGGGATCTAAGAAACAAACATGTATAACAGACTCCACTATGGCTTCTGAGTTTGTTGCATTAGCATTAGCTAGCAAAGAAGCTGAATGGCTAAGGAACTTACTAGATGAAGTTCCTATGTGGCCAAAATCAATTTCACCAGTGTCAATTCACTGTGAGAGTTTATCAACACTGGAGAAAGCATACAACCAAGTGTATACTGGAAAATCCAGGTATCTTGGATTAAGACATAGCTTGGTAAGGGACATGATAGCTAGTGGAGTAATCACTATAGAATATGTTAGATCAAAAGAAAATTTGGCAGACCCTTTGACGAAAGGACTGACAAATGAGATGGTGTTACGAACATCATCTGGGATGGGTCTTAAGTCTAGAATATGATTACTTGCTTTGGAACCTCAATTCAATGCTAAAAAATGCTCTAGTCTGAATTCAATGAGCGATAGTACAATGTACAAGTACTTGAGCACTACAATATTTATCCTAACGTAGTTAGTACTATATTTTTCCGCTGTGTATCAGGTTGAGAAATAGCTCTTAACAAACTATTGTAAATGCCAAAATGGCGGGGGCATTAAGAAGTTTGCCTAATGAATGTCGGACTGGGCATCTACATAGCTTGGGACTGGGCTTTGTAAACATTCATGAAGAGATATGGGTACAAGACCTTACGTACCACACGCACTGGCAAGGTGCAGGCAAGTTAAGGAGAAAGAAACCTATGTGTGTTGACAATAGTGACTTGTAACATGTACGCACGGTTCAAAACTAGTCTACCGGATTGTACTACAAGGTGTGAAAACGACACTAAGGTAGTGGTTCAAGTCTAACGACACCATTATTTTATGCATGGGTTTTGCTGTAATTATTCTGGATCCATTTTTAAAGGCATTTTCGATATATTAAAAATTGCGGGGGATTGTTGGAATATTTTCAATATATTGGAATATTATTTTCAATATATTATGAAAAGTTATAAAGTTTCATGATAGAAATGAAGAGACACATGCCAAATGTTCAAAGGTTGTGTCTAAGGATTCCAATGAAAAGACACAAATTAGAAGTGGTGTCTAATAATCCTAAAAACTGGAGAGACATCAACAAAGAGTTGTATTTAATCCTAAGAGTCACCAGAACTCTATAAATATGGATCATTTGAGAGGTTTTTGCTGCAGAGAAAATTTTCCAAATACTTAGAATAGTTCTAATGACCATTCTTGTCCTTGATTTCATAACCAAACAGTAAGTGCATAGTGTTTTGGTTTGATCTCCATTTTATCTCGTAGGGAATTCGCCTAGACAATTGAACAATATAGTGGGCGAATTTAGCCTAAAGGAAAGCAAGATTTTTCTTGTGACTTGGAGACAAATCTTTTTCATTTAGCAAGTGTTGTTTTTCTTCTAGTATTTTGTGTGTAAGTGCAACCATTGTTGTTTATTCTTTTGTGATAGAATTCCAGCATTTTATATTTAGTATTTTCTCCAAATTAGTATTTTTAAGACTTTATTTTGAATTAGAAAAACACGATAAATGAAAATTATCATAAATCAAAAGGCATAATAATAAGCACCAAGGGAAGTATAAATATATTTGGTGTATATCATCGACAATAGTGATTAATTTTCCTCACTCATGATAAGTACCATGATGAAGTGTAAATATATTTAAATAAATATATAAAAATAGAGGAAATTGAAGAATACACAATTCCATAAATTGAATAGTTCGTAGAGAAAAATTTTGGGGCTGATTTCTTGTAACCCTTTCTATTCGTAAATCTGGTGGTTTTATAACTATTAGACGAGCCACTATTTGGATAAAAATCATGATTTATTAATTTTAAATTTTAAGTTTTGCCTCTTAAAAAGAAATATGGTGTACTAAAGTACAATACAATAACTTCGATAAGTAATATAAAAAAAAGAAAAAGTACAACGTGGCGGAGGTCTTTATCACAATTGGTTTGACTTTTTTCACTGTAATGAAAAGCAGAAGTCATCTTTTCCATTAGTCGAACTCTTCATCACATCTATCCAAAGTAAAACTACCCCGTCTTTTTTATCTATGGTTTTAGGGTAAATTAAAAGTGTTTTTCTATGTGTAGCAATTTATTTCCTATGTATCATTAAATATTGTTTTTTCAATTTTACTCTTATCTCTCTCTATTTAATAATATAATTAATCACAACTATTTATTCTTTAACTTCAATTTTAAATTCTTTAGAGTTTTTTTTTTAATACTTTTAATTAGAGATAAAAAAGACAATAACCTTATAAATTAAATTTTTGATTATTATTTTTTTCTTAATAGTTGTGCAAATTTTAAAGCGAGACATAAGAAAAACAGAGGTAGTAACATCTGGGTGGGAGGCATTTGGACATTAGTTATAATCTTCTCATTAAATTACATGCATGAAATTAAGTCAACGATCAAGGACTATCTAACATCGACTTGATAGCGCTTGAGTTGTGAGTGACCAAAATATGGCATTAATGGCTGACTTTTTCGTACTTCACAATAGGGACATAGAAAACACAATTCTCGTTAAAATTCGTCATTAATAATTTAAATCCGATGAAGTGACATTTCTTCAGAATGTAAAAGCCAATCTCGCTTAAGCTTTGCCAATTTCAAAAAATTAAACAGACAAAAACCCTCACGAAACTCGCCAAAACTGAATCTCATTTGTGTTCATTCCTACATGCACTTAATACTTTAACACCAAGTAAATAAACATCAAGATTAATTTTATGTTACTAATTGTTAACTGTAATTTTTTTTAACTGATTAACTGTAATTCAATATGGAGCATTGGCTTAGATATTGATCAGGTGGTAGTCATCATCTTCTTCTTCTTTAGTAGTAACTCAGGTAGTTACCTCTTTTATTGTTAAAAAACATTCAGTCTCATGATTCTCCATCCTAAAACATTAGTCCATATAGAGATTTTAGATTTATGGTGTTACCATCAGTCTCAAAAAAAAATAAATAAAAGCCCACTTTGAAGTTGTACTAAAAATAGTATAAATCTCAAAATTTTATGTAAATATTTTTTTTCTTTTTTACAAGGTGGTATAAAAATCCACCTTCCCACAGTCCGCCCTTCTATCCCGTTGCGCGAGGTGATGTGCGGAAGATGAGTTTATCACCAAATTAATATCCATCTAAATTCTAATTTAAACGATCAATGTTTTTTCTTTCCTATTCCCAAACAAAGCATATAATACAACCAAGCATATTTAAGTTACATGGAAATTATTAGATGATCATAGTTTTGTCTTTTTCGTACAAATTAACAATCCCTTTACACATATATTGTTAATTGTTCTTAGGTGGTGGTGTTATCAATGTTTATACTTCATCTGTGATCTATCCTTGGTTCCTTTCTCAGTTATCATTATTTTTCATTTCAAATCATCCGATGAACTACTTAAATATTGTAAATCAAGAAAGAAAACTTTCAAGCATATATACTCTCTTTATGAAAAAAAAAATAATTCGCGTTGTAATACTGTCTTAATAAAAAGTACTAACCAATTTCCCAGAATAATTAAGTTAATATACATGGGTGGGATGATATTCTGATCTCTTTTCTGCATCTTCAAGCTGGAAATGATATGCATTATGTGAGATCAAACGAGTTCCATAGCTTAATAGATCTCCTCGTCAAGCAGATTAAGCTCAGCTTATCATTTAATTTTGATGCATTAATAGTCAGTACCTATGTATATATCTTCCTTGTGGGGTTAATGTGAGGTTTGATCTCATCAATATTTGGGCATTTGAAGGATTTATATTTTTAACGATAAGAAGATAATATTGGTGTTACTAAAACAGGTTTAGAAACAAAAGTTCTTATTTATATTTCAAACATCAACATACAAAAGTACACTTACCTTTCCAAAAAAAAAAAACGAAAGTACACTTTAAAAGTTTGATTTGTCTTATTTGTTGAGCTGACGGAGTTCAACAAAACAAATATCAAACCTATTTTTACGTGACAAAACAAATAGTTGTTACATTAAGGTTCTCACTGAAGCTTCTTTATTCATGAAATTTAAACATTTAGGGCTCATTAGTCTCATGAGAATAGCCACCATTCCCACCACCATAACCACCCCCACCACCATAGCCGCCTCCATAACCGCCACCACCTCCGGAACCCCCGCCACCGCCATAACCACCACCTCCGCCATAACCACCCCCACCGCCATAGCCGCCACCGTTACCATAGCCACCGCCTGCGCCGTAACCACCACCACTACCATAGCCACCGCCACCGCCCGAACCACCTCCACCACCATAGCCGCCACCATATCCTCCACCGTTGCCGTAACCGCCTCCGTAATTTTTGGCTTCCCCAAACCCTGCAACGCTCTTAGTCGTCTTTGCTGCGTCGACAACGAAAATAGAGATAAGCATTCATTCTAGAAGTAAACATGTTGCAAAATTGGGAACATTTAAACATAAATAAAGCAAACCAAAAAAGGTGTATCTCTTACGTTCTTCAACCAACTCCCGAGCAGCAACTTCGGAGGTGATCATCATAACCAGAAACAAGGCTATGCAAGCGAAAATGAGAGCCTTAGAGCCCATCTTTTAGTTCTTGTTTTTTTCTTTTCTCTATTTGTACTGTCTTATGAACTCGTTATGCAGAAGATTGAATAAATTGGGTCGTATTTATAGGAAAATTATGCATTTTACAATATGGGAATTAGGCCAATATAAGCCCACATGTGGTTCTACTTCAAAACCAATTGGCAATGAGGGGAGTAACACATAAGATATATATGTTGATCAAATAGGCTTCCCAACTCCAATACTATCTTGAAGGCCCATATAAGTCCACATGTGGTTCCACCTCAAAATCAATTGGCAATGAGGGGAGTAGCACATGGATATATATATTGATCAAGTAGGCTTCCTAACTCCAATGTGGAACAAATGTTTTTCACTTTCTTTTCAAGTTCAAAGGGTTTTAATAATACTTGAAGTGGAAGAAATTTCAACAACCCGTAATGTGGTGGTGGTGATGATCTTATGGACTTGATCAATATGTAGTTGGGCGTTGGAGAAATGGGTATGAGCTAATGAATTGTGCTATTAATAACGCTGAATTTTGTTTTTAAGAGAGTCAAATTGAGTAAATGAGGATTCGCACAAGCTAAGTTCGATTTTGTTATATGTCTGAAAGTTATTTAGATGTAATGTTTTTCCGATAGCCTTGTCTATCACTCATTCAAATTGGAGGGTCCTTCATATTGAAGAACAAGTTGTATGTGGTGCATGCATGCATGGAAAGTCCTAATCAAATACTTCCCTTTACGCGAGTGACTGTAAACCATATCATGTGTTAAATTATATTAAAAGCTCATTTTATGATATTATTTTAATTTTAAAAAATGTTGAATAGATAGAATAAGAGAGTATCAACTCATTATTACTGCCGATCGAAAACTATGCCGATTAGGAGGTAACTTATTACGTAAAATTTGAAATGATATATATATATATATATATATATATATATATATATATATATATAGAAGTATAGACAAACAGCTTCGTGGATTATGAAAAGCTTGATCAAACTCTATATGCACCAAGAGAAGTAGCATAAGGGATTCCCGAAGCGTTATAATTGGTATTCTGATCTTTCAGTCTGTTGTACTCCCTTCGATCCTTAATATACTTTTTTATTTATCATATGTTTCACATGATATGTTTTATTAAAAAAATAAAGTTAAAAATATATTTTTACATTTGTTTTATTTCCTGATTGTTAGGAAATGGTTTTAATATTTTTTTTATTAATGAAAAATATATAATAAATGAAACATGAAACAAATTAAAATGTTTTATATTAAAAACCGGAGAATTATATTTTACGGGAATCACGACGTTTCATGACCGGCATATATACCATTTGAGAACTATCAATTAGAAGTTGAGACTTATCGAAAGGAAGTGACTCACCATGTAGCTAGCTATCTTTTTAAGGACTGGTTTTCTTCTCCACTTGTAATATATTAAGGGCCCTTTTATTAAATTACATGTCGTTTTCTTGCAATATTAACGATTCAAAAGTCGGTTAGCGTTTAAAATGGTCAAATTAAGAGTTTGATTATTAGCTTCTTTATCAATAGCTAGATGTTGCAATTGTGGTAGATATAAAATAAGGAAAAATAGATCAGTAGATAACCCAAAAAAATGAACGATGCATCAATATGAATTAACATGTATACGAAATATTGCAATGTCGTCCCAAATATTATCTGGCTCAATTCCCACAGAGGGTTTTTGAACAAGTATTGTGTTAAGGCCATGTGAGCAATAAAAAAGTACGTATAACAATGCGAAGTTAAAAATTTTGGAAGAGTTTATTTAACCCTACAGTGTCCACTAAACAATAATTTTGAAATGTAAGAAAATATTTAAATAGTCATTTTGAAAGAGAGAAAATAGACTAATACATGAATTCCTTAAATTGAATCATTCTTAGACATAAATTTTGTGTCCGATTTCTTGTGATCCGTTTCTATTTGTAAATCTGGTTAATAGATGAGTCACTGTTTTGATGAAAATCGTCTTTTATTTATTTAATATTTTAGGTTTTGCCTTCTTAATTTGTTGTATCGAAAAATAAATTTATGGTTTACTAAAGTACGACGTGGGCGAAGTTGTTATCAGCAATTGGTTGATATGTATATTTCTTTTTAAGAAGTGATCTTTTCAATTTGTCGAACTCTTCATTATATCTATCCAAAGTAATTAATATTCTATCTTGTCCTAATTAGACACAAAATTATACTAATTCCAGTGTTAATTTAGACAAAGGAGGAAAAAGTATACGAATTACTAGGGATTTCGAAAAAATATCGATGAAAGTGGGAGTTCATTTTTTGTTGTTAGTCGCAACTACAAATGACATAATTTAAGAGTCTCATTTAATTTGCCTTCTATTTCTATTTTTTGTTTCAAACAAATTAAATATTCTGAATTTTTTAAATCTTGAGTTTTGCATGATAATATTCCTTTCAAAACAATTGTCCTATTTACTATTTTATTTTAATATTCACTTCCTCCTAAAATAATTATCCAAACATTCTTAGTCCATTTTTAATATAATAAATATGATAATTATTTGTGAAAAGTACAGTGAATGAAATAATCATGTTGAAGCAGCTTGTTTAGCTAATGAAATACATGGAGCCGCTGCAGTTGTACCATCACCTCTTATTCTTGGTAGGCTGCATCAGTGTAATGGGATGAGAACCTTAAAGAGAAAAAAGGCCCAACAAAAATATAAAAAGAAAGGAAAAAATTTATAAATGTTTTTTTTTTGAAATTGCAATTAATTGTAACAAACACTAGTGCACCAACTGGGGATGGAGTAAATATACAAATTTTTGGGGTTGCTTTGGTTTTGTGGATACTGCAATTTTTAAATGGAAAAAATCGGAAATCAATTTTATGTTGGATGCTCATAGGTAAACCGGAATAAAAGTAAAAAAGTGATTGAACCATCCTCCCCGCTGAAGCCTACTTCCGTTGCATGGTTGAGGAAATTTAAATTCCAATGTTAAGGAAAAGAATTTCATCCAAGGCTCACAAGCCTAACATTTGGACGTTTGAAGAATTATTGTTTTGAAAACAGAAAAAAAAAATTGATGGTGCTGTAGAAAGTTTGATAACTGAAGCTCTTAATGAAATTTCTCAAACGGGGAAATACAAACTTCTATTCCCTCCAACCTAAGAAATTAATTAGCGTACTTGTTTAGTTGAATATGATGATTGTTTAATTGTTCTATGGAACTTACAAGAGTTAGAAAAAATTGAGGATTTATAGTGGAATGTTATTTAAGTTGAGCTATCACTTGGATTGTACCGAAACTGGTCCTCCTCTAAAAATCTCTCTCTAAAAATGTCTCCCCGTCTCACTTAAAACCCCCGCCCGAAACTCCTCCTCCCCGAACCACCGTTAACATCTCTTTTTTAAGTTTCAGTCTTTTTCTTCTTTTTTTTCTAATAGAATACGCCGGTCGCTATTTCCTTCTGGCCGACCGACGCCCTCTCCCACAAAAATTTGACCGTAGGTGCCGGTATTCTTCCAATAATCGCTGGTTTTATACATCGCTGCCTTCTCCTCAGACGAGTGTTGGGTGTTTGTCACCTTAGTACCGGCTCCATCACCCGTATTGACAGGTTTGGCTTCAGATCTGAATTGCTGGTCGAATGGGCTATCTGTTGCTCCCGAGAGCGAACAGATCCGGTGGAGAATATCAAATCTCATAGAACCAGATCCAGCAAACAGATCAGAAGGACGAACAGATCCGGCCGACACTCACACGCAGGTAATCGGAAGCAAAATCAGTAATCGCTTGGCCAGCCGTAACAACCCCAGCTTTCTTGATTTTGCTGCTGGTCTTTCTTTCAAGATCTGAATCGCCAGCGAAAGCCTGAGCCCCTGCAAAAACTTCAGCCGGCCTTTCGGCCTGCTGCTCAAACACCGGCTTCGCCGGTCCTCAATTCAAACCGATTTTTTTAAAAAATCGAGTCTACTTCAAAAACTGGGTATTGTATCCTCCGGTCTATTTATCCGGTCGTGCTGTCACAAACAAACCAAATCGGATCATTCTTAGTTATATTATGCTTTGTTACTCTTGACTCACTTGTACGAACAACTTGAATGTGGTAATTTTCAATTTCATGTATATCACTCACTGTTTGAGATTCTCAATATGTCCACCAAACGCAGCAGTCCTTGAGCAGTGATCCAAAAAGATGCGAATCACGTTGACGGGGAAAATGATAGTTGTTCTCCATCGCGTTACTGTAGTTTTTGTCTATGCCAAGTGTATTACTAACTATGTAATTCCCGATGAGATTTACTTTAAAAAATATTAGTTTTAACTGATATTTAAAACACCGTCATAGGATGATGTTTTCTCAATGGTACAGGGTAAGTTTTAAATACTGCCCTAAAAATATTTCACTTTTTAAGGAATTACCCAGGTACATCCTGGTTTTTTTATAAAAGAAAAAAATTATTTAAGTCATTGAATGGTTTATGCGTAGAAATTGATGAGTTAGAATATAATGGTATCAAATTTATTGTATCTAAAAATATGATCATTTAATATTCTAATATTTTATGCTTTCGTCTCCTTTATTGTACCAGAAAAAGAGTTTAACAAATAAGTTTACCTTATTTTGGAAACTGAAAAAAGAGTTCAACCAATATGATTATTTCTTGGACAAAACGAGTAATTAATCATATTACATACATTGAGCTTCTCACGAAAGCATATTCATTCATGATCTTTATAAATTTAGGGCTCATTTGATTCACGTTCATAGCCACCAATGCCGCCACCGTAGCCGCCGCCATAACCACCACCACTTCCGTAACCCCCGCCACCGCCATAACCACCACCTCCGCCATAACCACCACCACCACCATAACCGCCACCACTACCATACCCACCACCTGCACCGTAACCACCACCACTACCATAGCCACCGCCACCGCCATAACCTCCTCCCCCACCATATCCGCCACCATATCCTCCACCACGGCCATAGCCGCCTCCATAATACTTGGCTTCGTCAAACCCTGCAGCGGTCTCAGTCGTTTTTGCTGCATCGACATGCAAACAAAAGATTAGTTTTTATTCTATACATAAGCATTGAAATATAGTTAAAGTTAGAGGATAAATAGATCATACAATAAAAAGTACATTAATGAAAAATGTTTATTTCTTACGTTTTTCAACCAACTCCCGAGCAGCAACATCGGATGTGATCATTATAGCCATAACTAAGGCTATGCAAGCAAAAATGAGAACTTTAGTGCCCATCTTTGATTCTTCTTCTTTTGTTTCTCTTTTAATTGCTAAAACTAAGCTTAGTAACTCGTTGTGCAAGATTAAACAAAAATGATCCTATTTATAGGAAAATGAAGCCCATATTACAATGTGGGAATGAAGGGGATCAAATAAACAACAATTAATCCAGAGGGGATGATTATCTTACTGACTTGATCAAGATTTAGTTGGGCGTTGGACAAATGGATATGTGATGGTGGATTTTTGTTATTGGTACAAGTCCATATCTACATTTAATATATCTTAATTTTATTAAAAGAGTCAGATTAAGTAAATGAGGATACGTACAAGCTAAGATCGACTTTATTTTTAATAAATTATCTAGCGTGTTTCTTTTGGGAGTAGTCAAGATTATAGTGAAAAAGATGTCATCCCGATTCTGGAGTATTATATATCTGAAAGCTCCATATAGTTTTTTTTTTTAATTTTAAATCTGATGCAAATTGGAGGATTTTGCTTAAGTTGGAGAACGAGTCAAGAAGTGAATGCCACATACTAATCAGATACGTACTCCAATTTTGTTACATTATTTTATTTCAAAAATAAACTACTAAATGGAACAGAGAGAGTACTGATCATTACTAAGCTCGACAAAAAATTTACAAATCAATTAAAGATATTAATATAGATGCACGAAGAGAAGTAGCAGAAATTTCAGAAAAAAAAAATAGTTAAAATAGGATTATTCTTAAGCTTTTATTTTTCTCGTCCTAAACCTTGATCATGAAAAAATATATATATATATATATATATATATATATATATTTACGGAGGATAATGGTTTTTCTGATCAAAGGATAAACCAAACCATAAATAGTTTACTCTGTTTTTTGGGTTTCACAATGGTAGATTGAGAAGGCACAAGTTGCCAAACTTCGATATGTCGAGAGATGATATACATCCAATTACTGTTATCGTATGGAAAGAAAGAACGACCATGCAACTTTATTCATTATTTTAATTCGGAGCTGATGACGTTTATTTGAAAAACAAAAGAAAAAATAGTTCATCGTGTTTTAAAATTTTAATTTAATACTACGAACTTAAATAGTTAGGTATTGGAAATAAGTTAAACTTGTATGAATAATTGGCTTTTTGTGAAATTTGGAAGTAAGGTTTGTTAAACATTAACTCTAAGTAAATATATATACATAGACGAAGCCGAACTGCTATTTGAGAAGTATTTTTGTAACGAGTCTTGATCCCAATAAAAAGTACAGAGATATTGATTGACATTAAACTGACCATTTATTCTAATAAAATTTTACACACATTCATTTGGTGGATTTATTTCGGTTTAATTGAATTGAATTTATATCTTTTAATTACTCGATTATAAAAGGCCAAGAGGTTATAGTATTTTGTAGCCTTTTAGAAAGTCCCTTCAAGGCAAAAGATATCATATGACACTTTTGTGTTACACTTTTGTATGTAAAAAATAGTTTTCCGTCATGATTTAACAGTCAAAAATAACAAAATGATGTCCGATGGATTTTTTGCTTAGCAAAGAGTTATGTTTTATAAATAAATTTAATTTATGCTTTATGATGACAGGTTTTGAGGTTCACTCTAGTTAATATTTTGACACGTGTTTAATTAATTGTCAAACAGGGTTCACTTAATATTTCATTTAGGTATTAATAATTAATTACTTAAACACATGTCAATCATTTAACCAGTGTTACAGAAAGTGCCACATAAAATATCACTGAACACCCCATGCATGTCCATTGCTATAAGTATTGCCTTATTTTCAAGAATTTTACACTAAAAAAATTTTCAGATTTTTCTGCTCTCTTGGACAAAAAATCCTTTAGCCATCACTTTGTATTCATGCAATATAATGTGCTCGGCCCTTTGAAATAAATATTTTGGTTTGCCGTGCAACATATATAATTCAGTGCAACCACATATAAGATTACTCTTTTATTTAAAAGTAATTGTTTTACAGTAAACATAAAATTATTTTAAGATAGAAAAATATCTGAATGAAACTTTTATACTTAGATCGAAGTTTTGTCTCAGGGGGTGGTGAGGGTTGAAGAAAATGATGGTATCCCGTAGAATTGGCCTGATTCCATTTGGAAACCAACGAACATCTAATTTAAACTCCAAATATTCATTCAGGTCATTTGTAGTATTGGATTTTGTAATGTAAAATTACACTACACTTCACCTTCAAGGTTCCATTAAATTTGGTTCCTAATATTCAAGAGTTCAACTTTCAAGTTTAGCTACCTCCGCGCCTGGTGGGGTTTTATGGTTAGACGAACCACCTTAACAGTTGGTACCTTATACCAACGAGCTGTGTTAAGTTAGAGTTTTAGACTTTGCCTCCTTCTTCGTGTCAAAAAAAAAAAAAAAGCTCAAAAAAGCAACTGACTTTATTTACTTATAATGTACTACTACCTTGTTTTTTTCTCTCAATAATCCAATCTATTGATTTAAATTAGTACTCTTTACATTCTAGAAACTAATCCACTTTAAAGAAACTAATAAAATGTGGTAGTTTTCTTTCTCAACTAGGGATGACGGTTCATATATACGATATAGTGAAGGGAACTTACTACAAAAACCCTACATATCGTCGGTAATTTAACATTAAGTAGTTACCGGTTCTTCAGATTGATAATTTTTTCCCCCCTAGATGGCTGCTTTTGAACATGTAAACAATTTGAGTTTCTTGAAAAGGTCTCAAAGATTACAACATGCATGCATGATAGTTGTAACCAAAAAGGGGTTCCATATTATAGGTACCAGTTAAAAGATTAATTCATCATCAACCCAATTCCTCGACAAATTAGAAGTCATATTGTTTATATTATAGAGTTTTCTTTATCTCCATGTTTCTTAATTAAATTGCACCTATAGGTATCCAAGCTTCCATCAATGTTTCCAAATTTCATGTCTTGTGAAGGTTTGGACCTGTTCTCTTCGTCATGTAATCCTATCATTTTGATTCAGTGAAAATGTGTAACACCAAGGTTATGACCTAACTTTTTTCTTTCTCAAAAACAAACAAACAAACAAACAAACAAAAACCCTAGAGCATTGAGAACACTAATCAAAACCGATTATGGGATTTATCAATGTCAAAAAAATTCTCCTTCTCAAAACTTCAGCAATTTCGACCGATAATTAATCTTTTACTTTTATAATTTCGTAACTCTTTTGACTAGTATCGTTATTATATATACACAGATATATATATATATATATATATATATACATATAGAGAGAGAGACATATATAAAAGGTACATTAGAAAACAATGTTCTCAATCCGTAAAGGTTTCTTATAAGTCTTTTGTTTTTTTTTTGTGAAAACGGTTTCTTATAAGTCATATAATTAGAATTCACCTTTTTTTCCATTTTTTTCCCTTTTTTTTTCCAAAGAAAACGAAGTACAGTATAGGTGAAAGGGTTGGGATAAGTAAAGGGAAAATGGTGATGAAAAGGGTGGCAATACTGTAAAAGAGGGCACAACAAAAATATGTGTTAGATCAAGTCAGGATAGAATGTGATATTGGTCAACAGACAACAATGTATGTGGAAGTATAATAGTACAACAAGTTAGACAGTTGAAACCAAACAGGGCGATGCGTGTTGAATTTTATAACAACCGCAACAACATAGATGAACAAAGCAGCTCCAATTCTGATCATTTTGGTGGTGCACTTTTATACCAGCTCCCAAAATAATGCGTCTTCTCCAACGAAAAGTTCATCCTCAGCCTTCCTTTTAACTTGCATCCATCAAAATATTTAAATAATGCTGCACATTTCTTCCTCAACCTTCATATATGGGTGATGTCTTCTTCGTTAATCAATCTCAGATCTTCTGTGAACTTTGTATCTCCTAACATCTATCACACCATAAAATCTACCATTTATCATTTCATCCTGATTAGTTTAAACTTTCTTAAAGATGATGTTGGAAATGGGAAAAGAAGTGTAGAACCTCAGCAAATTAAATTGCATTAACTAGAATGAAGATTAGATTGGCACATAATGAATTGGTGAAATATATACACTATAATGATGATAAATACAACTAAAATTGAACGACGTTACCATAATTGTATTAGGGTTAGTAAATGTCTTGTATTTACTGTATTTATGGTAATTCATTTATCGGCAGTAACTGTATATATGAAACCCTAACTCAATGAGAAAAGGCAAGAAAGCCAATTCACATTTCTTCCTTCGGCCGCCGCCTTTGAATTCCTTTATGGTATCAATCGCTGGTAATTTCTTCCTGTTGCAATACACATGACAAATCCATCCGATCCTCCTCAGTCCAGCAAGTCCGTCTCTCTGTCGACGGATGAGGATGGCCGTGATCGTCCACATACCGACGATTTCTCTCGTCGTCGAACAATCTCTCCTTATGATATTTCCGGCAGTGATCAGCCGGGTCAATCAATCACTCAAGTTCAGCTTCAAGGCGAGCACAATTACGATGAATGGTGCAGCGCCGTCAAGACTGCCTTACGGGCCAGAAAAAAATACGGCTTTGTGGATGGCTCCATTCCTGAACCGGCGCCGGCATCCCCAGAATTCGAAGATTGGTGGACAATCAATTCTTTGATTGTTTCCTGGATTATGAACTCTGTCGAATCTTCTTTCCATTCGACTCTCACTCACATGGAGGTTGCTGCCGATTTGTGGGCCGACATCAAAGAACGTCTCTCCCAGGTGAATGGTCCAAAGATTCAACAGTTGAAGGTGGATTTGATGGCGTGCAAACAGAAAGGTCTGTCCATGGCTACCTATTATGGCCGTTTGAAGAAGATTTGGGAAGCTTTGGCCACGTACGATCAATTTCCGGCGTGTTCGTGCGGCAAATGTACCTGCAATCTTCCCGCCATTGCTGCTCAACGCCTTGAAACCGAGAAAATTCATCAATTCCTTCTCGGTTTGGATGATATCGCCTATGGAACGGCTCGCTCCAACATTCTGCGCAAGATCCTTTGCCTCGCCTCAATAAAGTTTATGCGGCAATGGTTCGTGAAGAAAAAATGCGACAGATTACGCAGTCGGCCGAGTCCACAACCGACGTCATGAGCTTCACGGTTCAGCCTTCCTCCGGCGTCCCTGGTTCTTCCTCCGGCGTCACAGTTTCTGCGACAACTTCTTCGTCCGGGGATTCGTCCGCTTTTGCGGCTGCTGCTGATGTGGTTTCCGGCGGCCGTGGGTCTGCTCGTGCGAAACCCTTGTTTTGCACCCACTGTAATAAGCCAAATCATGATGTCTCCACCTGTTTTCAACTCGTGGGTTACCCGGATGGCTGGTCGCGTGGGTCTCCTGGGCGCGGGCGCGAACGTGGGCGCGGGCGTGGTCGTTCTACTTCGGATGTTGGCAATGTTTCTTTTGCTCCGGGTTCTGGTGTTTCGGCTTCTGCAAATGCGGTCACCGGTTTGAATAATCATCAGTGGCAGACCTTACTCCAACTTTTGCAATCGTCTAAGCCAGGTTCGACAGACACGCTTTCTGGTATGTCTTGGTCTACATTGTGGATGTATGATTCCGGTGCAACTACACATATGACTGGTCGTTTGGAATTTTTTACGGATGTTCGTGCTATTCCTGCTGTCTCGGTCCGTTTGCCTAATGGTCAACATACTTGGGCCACTCAGGCTGGCACTGTTATTCTCAGCAGCACTATCACGCTGCTTAATGTGCTTTATGTTCCCACTTTGTTGTGTCATTTGATTTCTGTTTCACAGCTGTTACGGGATTCCGGATATGTTGCTCATTTCACTCGTGATTTTTGTATTATACAGGACCTCGCTTTGAGGATGCTGATTGGAGCGGGTGAGCAACGAGAGGGGTTATATTTCTTCCGGGCCGTGGAGATTGCTGCTCAAGTTACACCTGCTGGTGTTTCTTCTTTTGATCTGTGGCACCAACGTCTCGGTCATCCTTCCCCTCAGGTCTTAGAATCCTTTTCATTTGTTGGTCCAAAAGTGGGTAGTAATAAAGCTTGTGATGTATGTTTTCGTGCCAAACAGTCTAGAACTAGCTTTCCTCTTAGTTCTACGACTAGTTCTGATATTTTTCATTTGATCCATTGTGATTTGTGGGCTCCGTATCAGGTACCTAGTTTTTCTGGAGCTCGTTATTTTTTTACTATTGTTGATGATTATTCTCGCGCTACTTGGCTTTATTTGTTGAATGATAAGAAAGAGGTTTCCTCTACTTTATTCCAATTTTTCGCCATGGTTGAACGTCATTTTAGCAAACTTGTGAAAATCATTCGTAGTGATAATGGCACCGAGTTTTTATGCTTGACTGATTATTTCCGCCAACATGGCATTATTCATGAAACCACTTGTGTTGGTACTCCTCAACAAAATGGTCGTGTCGAACGCAAGCACTGACACATTCTCAATGTTGCTCGCCGCCACCGAAGCTCTGTTCCCTTCACAAAACCCGCCTCAACCTTTCTCATCCTTGAAGTTTCGCCTAACCCATTCGCACCCATTACTCATGAGCAGGACCATAATTTTTCCCCAATCCTCAAAACCTTCCACTTGGAGTTTCCTATTGAAAACACCGAAAAGAAGACTTTCCGCTCCGGGATTGGAGGCGACTTCGTTGTGGCGTGCTTTGTTCTGTTTTTCCCTTAACTACTCTACGCCTCTGGAAAAACACGGGTTTTACATCGAAGATTTGTTCTGAATCTTTTGTTTACAAAGAAAATTCAAAATTTCAACCGTTTACTTTGCCAGGGCTATGGATAAAGATATAGGCTTTTCTCTTTCTTTTTTTTTTCCCTCCATTTTTGTTTGTTTGTTGCTATTATGGAAATTTAGGAGTGACAATTTAATTAGGTCAGGTCTTTTGTAGATATAAGGTTGCACGTTTGTCCACATTTGTCAATTGTCAATTTGGTGTAGGTATGTAGCACTGGCTCTGTCTTGATATGCATTAGTACTTTGAAATAAACTGGTGATTGAAACTTAGGTCAGTCCTTCTGCATTCGTTTTGTAATTGCTAAAGTGCAAAGTGCTTACAATTATGTCTTGAATCTAGTTATGGGGTAAGTGCTAAACTGCAAACTTAGGTTATCGCTTCGGACAGTTGCAGGGCATTGAAAGGGGTGTACAAATTAGCAATATAGCGGATGCTTGACTTTTGGGTGAGTCAGACCCAAAATTCTGGAACAAAAAATGTGTAGGGTTTAAAAACAAGACAAATATAATGTTCTCGCGCTTTCAAAACGCGAAACAAGAAAATTAAATTAACAATTCGCGTTTGTGAAACGCAAATCCTTTTAATTATCTTTTCCCCAAATTCAACCGGGACGAAAGAAAAAAAAATTGAATTAAAAAAGGAAAACCATTTTTCGCGTTTTAGAAACGCGAAAAATCTAAATCGCGTTTCAGAAACGCGAAAAACAATTTTCGCGTTTTAAAAATGCGAAAAGTTATAAATTTTAAATAAATTGCGGTTTGAAAACAACAATTTGGCGTTTTAAAAATGCGAAAAAAAATTTCTAGCGTTTTGAAAGCGCGAAAAATGATTTTAGCGTTTTAAAAACGCGAAAATATCCAAAAAATCTCCTCATCCACTCATTTGGCTCCACGTGTATTTTGATGATAGGTCTTGAATGTATTCGCGTTTTGTAAACGCGAAATTTAATATTCACATACCAAACCAAGCAAAATAACAGCATTTCTTCCCAAACTTTTTTCATTCTGTTGAGCTCCGATTTTTCTTCCCAAACTTCTTTCATTCTGTTGAGCTCCGATTTTAAGTTTCAGTCCGGAAGACTTGGCTGAATCCGTGAAAGCTCTCATTTCCTTCAAATTGAGAAGTTGCTCCGAAGTTAAAAAAGATTGAGTTGAGTCCTGAAGCCTATTTAAAATCCTAAGTTTCAACATTCAGGTAAGTTTATTTCGTTATAGAAAACATGTACTTTTTTATTCCTTATTGTGACTATAGGATGATTTACGCATTATTATTAGTTAATAAATAATTGTGATTTAGTCAATTAACGATGGTTTTTTAATTAGGCTGATAAAGTGAATTGAAAGAAATATTAGTTAATAGAATGTTAAATTAGATGAGCGTTGTAAATTATTGTATATCGATTTCTGTAAAATAAAATTATAATAATGATATTGAATTTTTGAATATTTTTAGCATAAGAATAAATTATGTAATTCGGGCATAAGGTTTAGATTTAATATTAACTCTTAGCATAAAATTGAATTTGTAAATTCAGGCGTATAGTTGTTCTTTTGAAATTATTAAATTTGTAAACGGGGTAAATACTGTTTCCGCAAAACTAAAATTCAAAATGTATTCTACTGTCCTGATTTCGTAGGAATTGATTTTGCAGGCCGCAAATGTCTTTCACGGAGACAGTTCGTCTGAAAGTATACTGGAATACTACTTATACAACTGAACCTGATGGGTCTATCACGGTACAGCAGGATGCGCCGGACGGTTATCTTATCATTGATCGTATGTTAGATTTCGCGGAACTTGTTGATAAGGTATGTGGTGTGATGGAAGTTGATAGAGAAGGACTGTATATCGATTTTTCTTTGGTATGGACGGAGAGGTCAGGAAAAAGGTCTCGTGTGCACATTAATAATGATAATACTGTTCGGTTCATTTATCTTTGTGCTGATACATGGCCAGAATTGTACCCTGAAAATATTGAGAGAATAGGCCTTGTTTATGCAAATACATCTGGCCAGGATATTGGTGCCAGCACTAGTGGTAGTAGAACAGTTGAAGACAATGAAGATGAAGATGGAGACGAAGATGAAGATAAAGATGAAGATGAAGATGAAGATGAAGATGGCGGGGGTGTCGAAAGCAGTGATGATGAGTACGTCCCATCGGATGAGGACTCAGATGACGACACTGATTTTGAGTCATCGTCTTCAGTCCCATATGTTTTCGACGACATCAGTGGATGGGACAAGACTTTAGAGGAAGTAGATTGTGATGGGATTAAAATGTGGGATGGCAATCCGTTGACGCTAGGCCTTGATGTACATTTCACCAACAAGCCTGTGGCACAAGCGGCAGTGGGAGAATGGAACTTGGTACATGGTCGGACTTTCCGGGTGAAAACGAGCTCTAAACGAACATGGTATGTCGAATGCGAGACCTGTGGACCCAAATATCCGAAAGAGCGTCTTCACGGCTATGATTGCCTGTGGAAAGCGCGAGTTTCGCTACAGAAGGCCACCGGTACTTGGAAAATGGTGGTATGGTCTGATTCCCACAACTGTCTTGGGGCAAACAAGAGAAACGAGTCCTGAAACGTCACGTCTTCTATGATTGCTAGACTGGTTGCCCAAAATGTGCGAAAACATCCAGATTTTGCAGTTGCCCAAATTCAAATAGAAGTTTTGAAGAGGTACCAAGTCGAATGTAGCTACAAGAAGGCATGGTATGGTAGAAGAAAAGCACTTGAGGCTCTGTATGGTACATGGGAAAGTAATTTTTAACAACTGCCCAGCTTCCTTGATACATTGTTCATGTCAAATCCGGACACCTGTGTGCAATTCAAGTTTAAGGAAAATTTAGGAAGCTCGCAAAGGTTTGTATGTAGGTATGTTTTCTGGGCATTTGGGCCATCTATACAGTTATTTCATGCTTGCGGCGTAATAACCATCGATGCCACTCACCTGCGAGGATCCTACAAAGGAAAACTAATTGTGGCATGCGTGAAGTGCGCGAATGGCACAATTGTTCCCATTGCATTTGCTTTTGTGGAGAAAGAGACCATACAAAGCTGGAAATGGTTCTTGAAGTATTTGAAAAAGTTTGTTCCACAGGATAGGAAGACCTGTATTATCTCTGATCGCAATCAGAGTATCCTTACTGCCATGGACATCATGTTGCAAAAATTCCCAGAGATGGGAGTCCACTAGTATTGTCTAGAGCATGTTAAAGCAAACTTGGTTGGGCATTTTTGAAAGGAGAAACTGGGAGGCAACTGTCAAATGATTGGTTCAGCGACGCAAAAGACAAGGTATTTGGCAGAGTGGCAAAAATTAGAAGATAAAAATGAGGCTGCAGCTTGTTGGCTTCAGAAGCTGGGTGTTGAGAAATGGACATGTTTACACGATGGAGGGCATCGTTGGGGAGAAATGACCACTAACATCCTTTCAGAGAGTTTCAATAATGTGCTGAAAGGTGCTAGATTCTTCCCGATCACAGCTTTGATCCTAGCATCCTTTCAGAAAAGCAACAATCTGTTTCAGGCAAATATTGATATGATCCGGAAATGTCAGAATGTTCTACCTCCTAAGCCCATGAAACTGTATGAAGAGTCCCGGAAGAAATCATTGAGGCAAAAGGTCAACCGGAAGTATGAAGTGGTTACAATAGCACCTGATAATCAACCATGAAAGGTTGAGGAGAAGCAAGTTGTTCTCTATGCAGATCGAGAGTGCACTTGCGGAAGGTGGCAGACTTTTAGATTTCCTTGTTCCCATGCACTTCGAGTTGCCCGTGAGCTAGGTGACGACCCCTTCCCACTTTTTGATCCATGTTACACTACGAAGCAATGGTACCAGCAGTTTTCTCGAGAATTCAACCCAATCATGGAACCATGGCCAAAGGCAAGGTAGCAGATCAGGCTAGATGACACTAAACTTGTCCACCATGCTGGCCGTGGTCGGAAGCATGTGAATCGGAAAAAAAGTGTGATGGATTATACAAGCAAATCTGGCCAGGGAAGACTCCAAACTTGCAGTTTATGTAAACTACAGGGCCATAATGCCAGGGCTTGCCCATATGTGAGAGTTTGCGCACGATGGGGAAGTTTAGATCATGATGCTGTGGAATGCCCATTTTCTCATCCACCTGCTGACAGGACCGCTATTGATAAACTTTACGATCCATATGGAATTCGTGGTGTGCCTAATATCAATTCTGATGATTCTGATGATGGGTAATGATGATTTTCCTTAAGATGCGTAGTGATGATTCTGTTAGTGTTTGTATTTGTGTGTTGTTTTGAACATTCATGTAATAAACCTCAGAGGATGAATCTGTTTGCGTTTGTATTTGTGTTAGTGTGTTGGTTTGGATGTTTGTGTGATAAACTCTAACTATGGACAATTTATATTAGTAATATTTTAAAAAAAAAACGTCGGTCTTCGTCATTATGTATTAAAAATGTAGTACTAATAATTACTATAGGGGTGGAGTGATACTGTATACATGTCGTATAAAGCACTAATTATCTTGGGTATTGTTTTGAACATTCATGTAATAAATCAATGAAAATGATTTTGTTTGCGTTTTTTATTTGTGTTAGTGTGTTAGTTTTGGATGTTTGTGTGATAAACGCTAACGGATCATTCACTTTGTGTGAGTTGTTAGGGTTTAGGGTTTAGGGTAACAAAACTAGTTATTTGTTTATTCATTTTATGATAAACAAAGTTGGCTTAATTATCATAAATGTTAAATTAGTTGTGTAAATAAAATTATTTGTCAAAATTACCAAAATACCCCTAGACTCAGTATAAAATAATGAATATTTATGTATTTTCGGTTGGTGGACCAATTTTTGTGGATTAATCCGTTTTAAACTAAAATCGCGTTCCTAAAACGCGAAAAAATGTTAGCATAAGGAAATTTTGCGTTTCAGAAACGCGAATTTGGGGATAGAAGTCTTTCCCGTTTCTGAAACACGAAAGTTTGTGGGTTAAATCCCAGTTTTCGCGTTTCGGCTTAATTCTGAGGTTCGATTTTTCCCGGTGGCCGGCGTACTCCATTGAAACCGGCGATTTTTCCAGAATCGTTGCCAGAGGCGAGTTTCGGCATCAATTTTTTGCATTTTGTGGGCTATATATCGAGGTAAGTTGTTATTTTGCTCTCATTTAATCGTTTTTTTTAATTCATGCTTCAAATTGCGAATCCTAAAAATTTTGTGTTGGTTTATATTTTAATTTTAATTCGCGATTTAATACTCTGTTAATAGATCTAGTATTATAGGTGGTGTAGTTGTGGATTTTTTTAAAAAAATCGGGATTTGGTTGGGTGAAAAAAATGCCGGCGGGTTTGAAGGTAAAAGGGGGTTGCCGGGGGGGAGGGCGGTCGAGGGAAATGCAGGGGTTTAGAGGGGGTAGGCGGCGGGGTGGGCTTAGGGTTGTGGGGTGTTGAGCTTAGGGGGTTTAGGGTTTGGGGGATTGGGTTGGGTTTAGAATATGGGTTTGGGTGTATAGGGGTGGGTATTGGGTTGGGTTTAGGGGGTTGGGTATTGGGTTAGGTTTAGAGGGGTGGGCTTAGGGTTGTGGGGTGTTGGGTTTAGGGGGTTTAGGGTTTGGGGGATTGAGTTGGGTATTGGGTACGGTTTAGAAGGCTGGGTTTAGGGGGTTGGGTATTGGGTTGGATTTAGAGGGGTGGGTTTAGGTGTTTGGGTATTGGGTTGAATTTTTTAAATATATCTAGATAATTAGGATATAAAAAAAAAATAAATATTAATCCGTACTTACTAAAATTTAGGGTCGGATTTTTTAATGTATTGGATAATAAAAGGATAATAAATATTAATCCGTACTTCATAAAATTTATGGTCGAATTTTTTAATGTATAGGATAATAAATATTAATCCGTACTTACTAAAATTTAGGGTCGAATTTTTTAATGTATAGGATAATAAATATTAATCCGTACTTACTAAAATTTAGGGTCGGATTTTTTAATGTATAGGATAATAAAAGGATAATACATATTAATCCGTACTTACTAAAATTTAGGGTCGGATTTTTTAATGTATATGATAATAAATATTGATAAATATTAATCCGTACTTACTAAAATTTAGGGTCGGATTTTTTAATGTATAGGATAATAAATATTGATAAATATTAATCCGTACTTACTAAAATTTAGGGTCGGATTTTTTAATGTATAGGATAATAAATATTGATAAATATTAATCCGTACTTACTAAAATTGTTTGTAAATTGTTATAGCCATGGACATTAGATCATCTTCTTCCTCCCAATCTACCTCAAAGAAGCTACGGCAGGGACCTAGAGACAATAGTTTGTTGTTCCTCCAAAAGGCCCATAGGTCGCATAATATATTCCATAGTGCACAGTATGATATAGGGATTTCGGAGCCCAGGCGCGTAGATAGCGCAACGAGGAAATATATAAAAGATGCACCGACGATGACAAAGGAATACATTGAGAAATTTGGTTTTGGACCGTTTTCTAGAGTTGGGTCCATAAGATGTGACCATGCCCTGCTTACAGCTCTTGTGGAGCGATGGCGCCCAGAGACCCATACTTTTCATTTACCTTTTGGGGAGGCTACTATCAAACTGCCGGTCATTGAGGTTCTTTTGGGGCTTCGGGTTGATGGACGTCCAGTGACAGGACATCACACCACGCCTGAAGGTGGTTGGGCTACCTATTTGGAGAGGATGTTTGGATTTAGGTTCCAGACAGAGGAGTCTAGATTGACGAGCGTTTCCATCACTGATATAAAGACTCACAAAGAGAATAATCCTTTGACGGACCAGTCCCCTGATGATCCACACCTACATCGAGCCCGTTGTTTTGTTAGATGGCTAGTTGGCGGATTACTGTTCTCTAACACTACGAGAAACAGTTTTCAACTCGATCTTGTGCATTTTCTTCATACTCCCGAGATTTGCTCGGAGTACAGTTGGGGTAGCGCGGCACTATGTTACTTGTACCGCAGCATGTCCAAGTCATCTTTGGCCGCTTCTACAAAGGCTATTACCGGCTGTGTGAATCTTCTTCAGGTATTTTATCTTTTCATTTCTCTCTAGTTTCATTTTATATTCTCCCATAATTATTTGTGATATTAGCTAATGATCCATACATTCTGAATTAGCTCTGGGCCTAAGAGCGGATTTTGACGGTTCACCCAAAGATACTGGGTTAGGAGCTCGATCTTTCTCATTGTCCATCGGGCACGAGGTAATCTTATGTATCAAACCTCCGGACATTTTGACATTGTGATTTGTACTTTCATGTCTCAATTTAATGTTAATATACCCGTGCAGGTGGTCCCGTGAGAAAAAAGTTCAAGGTATCACGCGGTTCAATTTGGCCGCGTACCGGGATCAGCTTGCAGTTCTTGCAGAGTCAGATGTTAGTATTCATTTCAGTTATTGTAACATATTTTTTATTTGATTTTTTAATGGTGCCAGACTTTTAATTACGCATGTCTTACTATATTACCTTTGCAGTTTGTATGGATGCCGTACACGACTCTTCTGGGCCGTATTGCCAGGGTTTGTCTTGTGGGACAGGGCATATGGCGATCTCAGACAGGGTCATCTACGGTGATGTCGTTGCGCCACACAACCCCAATAGGGTATTTCGCCAATTTGGTTATCACCAGCGGATACCCGGCGGCGCATTGCTTCTCACTGCGGGGGAAATTACTAGCCTGCTCAAGAGGAAGCCGTTTGGAGGTTCCGATAGGAGATGGATACAACAACTATGGATATATCTCCAGGTTTGGAATGATCACCACGGCAGACTTGTGGGGACTGATGATTATTATGTTGGCGAGCCTACTGCAGATCCAGAGTATCTCTTGTGGTACCATCAGGTTACTGTAAAGTATGTTACGGATCCGATGGACTCTGAAAATGCGAGGGGTTTTCACGGCTCTGCAGAGACCTTGCGCCTCATGGTGAGTATTTCGCCTACAGTCCATTATGTAATTTATTAATACTGTTATCGATTTATAATTCTTTCTAACAAAAATTTCAGGCCACATTGATGGAGGACGTTCGTAGTCTGAGTATTATAGGCCAGCGTACTTTCGACGCGGACTCCTTTGGTTATGGTCGCTTAGGCGAGATTGCCCAGGATGCTGAGCGGGCGTTGTCCGTCAATGCAACGAATGTTGTACGTCACGATCTCGATAGGCATGTTGAGGTTAATGACATTTTGAGTCAAGAGCTTTCACCTGTAGACCTGACCTAGCAACATCCACCACCCAGACCTCCGAGGCGTTCGCGCAGGTCTCAACGTGGGTGTGGGGGGCAAGAGACAATCACGCCCACTCAGCCACATCAGTCCTCCCAGCATCAGCAGTCTCATATCCCCTTCACTGACGGTTCATCCAATCAGTCTCCACATCATTCTTCGCCGATCCAACAGGTGTTTTACCGTCCTATTATGTCTTCCCAGCACCAGCAGTCCCATTTTCCTTCACTCAGTTTTCCTCCCCTCAGACTTCTCAGCCTCAGTTTGGAGATGCTTTTATTGAATTTTCTGGGTTCCAGCAGAGTTCGCTAGATGGCCAGTCGATACATTACACAAGTAACTTTCTTTCGAGTATGTTCGAGGGTGTTGCGGGTCAGCATCAGGCTGATGACCTAGCTGGAGGTGAGCGTGAGAGTCAGGATGAAGATGAGGCTGAGGATGAGGCTGAGGATGCAGACCAGGATGATCAGTTTGAGGGTCAGGGTTACCAGCGCCATGAGGAGTAGGGATCGAGTCAGACTCTAGGGACTCTACCGTTGGCTGTGAGTAAAGGCCAGAGAGTGACGAAGGAGTCCGATAGATTGACTTAGAGCCATTTTTGGGCTAAAAAGCCCAAGAAGTAGGGTACTAGACTTTTTATGTAGTATTATTAGACTTGTATTTTTTTTTTCCTTTTGTTCATTTATGTTTTTTTTCTTTTTGTTATGACTTGTTTTATTTTTTTCCCTTTTGTTATGACTTGTAGTATTTTGTTATGACTTGAATTAATATTCTTAATAGTTTGACTTCACCTCCATCGTAAATACAATAATTAATATTTATAAAATACATCTTCGCCGATCAAATCTAAACACATCTTCAAACTTTCTTATATTTTTTTAATAATTAATAGTTGCTTCATCATTTTTAAAAAAAAAACAAAGTATTTAGTTTATCCAAACAAAAGATATAATTGTTAGCTCTTACATACCAACCGTCTATTAAAATTACCACATCCACAAAAGAATAGTACCAGATACCTAAAACAAACATTGTAAACTAAAGTTCTCTTCAAAATTAAGATGCGGTGCATTAAACAATCGCATTAGCAGCACTTGCAATCCTCACACTCCTTTCCAATGGCACCACTGATTGCAGAACCTTTCATTTTTCCCTTGGGATTAACAATCACTCCAGCATTATCTTCAAAGTACATGTAGACACCGTCCTTTCGGCGCCATGGCTTGCGCTGGCGGACAATGACTGCAGGCATGACCTTCTTCCTGAGATTGGGCTTACCCTTCTTGACGGTGGCCATAACCATGTCACCGACGGAAGCAGTAGGGAGACGGTTGAGCCTACCCTTCACTGAAATGATGTAGAGGTTCTTTACCCCAGTGTTGTCGGCGCAATTCACCGTCGCAGACACTGGAAGATCCAGAGACATGCTGAACTTGTTACTCGCCGATCCTCCGCGTCCTCGCTTCGACATTTTTGCTGTCTCCCCTGTGAGGTTTCCGAAGAACAGAAAATACTTGCTTCATCTTAAGCGTTGGTAAATTATAATAAATATTTCTTAAAATTTATCCATATTTTAAGCTTTTTTCTTATATTGAAACCGTCATAATTAATATAAACAATTTGTAAATTAAATTACATCTAATTAATATAAATCCATAAAATTACGTCATTTATCATTACTGAACATTTTTCATATCAAATTATTTTATGAAATAATAATTAATTTTTTAATATAATTTTTCAAAAATTTTATAAATTATAATAATTATTTCATAATTTCAATAATTTATATTTAGTATAGCTCTATTTAATTTAATGAGTATCAATTATATTATTATATTCATATAAAAATTTAATTTTTCTATTATTAAAATTATCAATATAATTTTTCTGTTATTAATTTTCTTCTTTATAGCTCTATTCAAAATTTAATGATTATGAATTATAATTTTAAAATTTTTCTTTAATTTCATTATTGAAATTTAATAATTTTTCGAAGTAAATTTGCCTACAATTTTTTAAACTATGCAAATTAATTGAATTTTTAAGACAATTTCCTTTTTTTATTTAAATAAAATATTGTTTTTTATTACTTTCGCGCTTTGAAAACGCGAAAAATAATCTTGCAGAATTTTTTTCGCGCTTTGAAAACGCGAAACTTTATTTAATCAAATTTTTTACCATTAATTACTTATGATTAAGTTAAATTAATTAATATAACCTATTTTTAGAATTTTTTAAACGCGATAATCTTGTTTTAGCTTTTTGAAAACGCGATTTTGCCAATTTTCGCGTTTTTGAAGCGCGAAAGAATTAGTTTTGGGGAGAATTGAAACCCTAAAACTATTTTCTTCTTCAGTAATTTTATTAGATACATATAAGTAATTTTTCCCAATATAGCTGGTATGTTTTGCTACGGCTTATGTCACGAACAAATGAGAGTGGCAGTTGTTTTCCTACGGCTTTTGGAATTTCCTTGACAATACATTCGGGTTCCCTTGGTGGGTATACATTGGTTTTGAGGTTTTTAAATTAGTATATTCATTAGTTTGTTATTGTTCTGAATTCCGCTTTATTCCTGTCTGATGATCATTAATGTATTCATTAATTCTCTAATAGGACATTGATTGTTGTCTATTTTCTGGATTAAGTTATCTCAATTGTAGTTTCTTTTGAAATTTATGAATTAATTATGAATATTGAAGCAATGATAATACCTTTTCATTTCTAGAAGGAGAGGTCCTGGTTCATCGATGTCACTACCTCATCCGTTCATCAAGAGTCAGCTGTTGCCTTCTATTGTAGTTGGTACTCTGTGCTTGGTACTTTAACACAAAAGGATAGGAACATGAAGGAGGTGTTCCTTGTTTCTCATTACCATGGTATGTCTTCAAGTCTAGCAGGACTTTGCTCTTGGTGATCCTCACGGGTTGGAAAACGGCGTCACAGACCATGAAGAGGTAGGGTCTCTAATCTTTATCGATCACAAACCAAGATTAAAAATTGTACATTACTTTCTCTTTCCATTTTGGTATCCATGTTCTTTGTAGTTTTGCTAGATATGGATGGAAACTTGAGGATACGCAGCCAGCTTTTCAAATTGTTGAGGGAGTAGGATTTGACTTGTAAAAGTGACAGCCCAAATGAGTTCTTCTATTTAGGATGATTAAATCGAATTAAAAAGAAGTAACTTTCATACGCTGCAGGTGTGAAGACTACGTGAATTTTTTACTCATTTGATTTAAAGAAAATTTATTCGTATATAAACTATATGAATGGAAGATCTTCTGCAATATTTATTGTATTTTTTTTCTTTTTTTTGAATTTACGGGTATGATAAAGAGTTCCACAAACATAGGCGGGGAGCTGCTCAAAACTACTTTGCAAATTTGAAAGGTACTTCCAATGTTCAAATGGCTCTTCTTTCAGTGGAAAGGTTGATCTTGGAGTAACGAATTGATAGCACCAATAGTGAAGATGGATTATACTCTGTGTGGTTGATTGGGGTTCTTTATTTTTGAAAAATCTCGGACTGCCAAAATGACGTCATTTCAGTCACGGGGGTGTTTTAAACCCCCTAATCACTGTCGGGTTGTTTTTCTCGTCGGGTTATTTATTCACCCTCCCCCTCCTCCTTCGAATTTTAGTAATTGTTGGAGTAATAACATGGTAAATGTCAAAATTGGTGAACATGTAGTGAACACATCAAAAAGTTTTAAATAGCTAGGATCCATCATAGAAGAAAATGAAGGCATTGATAGAGATGCAAAACACCGAATTTAAACTGGGTGGAACAAATGGAGAAGTGCGTCCTCAATGCTTTTTGATAGTAAAGTACCATTGAGTTTGAAAGGAAAATTCTATCAAACGGCTATTCGACTGGCGATGCTTTACGAATCCGAGTGTTGTGCTACCAAATACGAAAATGAATAAGAGATGCGGGTAGCAAAAATAAGAATATTAAGATGGATGTGCGGGCACACTAGGTTAGATAGGATTAGAAATGAATGAATTAGAAATAAAGTAGAGCTAGCCCTGATAGATGAGAAAATGAGAGAAACTCGCTTAATGTGGTTTGGACATGTGCGTAGGAGACCGATGGAGGCCTCGGTTAGGAGGGTAGAAAGTATAGAATTTAGGACGAAAATAAAGAGGGGTAGAGGTAGACTGAAGAAAACTTAGAAAGAAACTATAAAAAATGATTTGAAATATTTAAATTTGAAAGATGATTTATATAATGATCGATAACAGATATGATCCACCTAATGAGAAAAAGGCTTGTTGTTGTTGTTGGCAAAGTGAAGTGGCGATGAGTTTTCATCATCCCTTGAATCGTCATCAATAGATCTTACAAAAAATTCCACCAAAAGTATTTCTGATTCCTGCATCAGGAATGAAGTAATCACATCAAAGGGTGATCATGCTCGAACTAGGTCCGTGAGAATGATGTACCCAAATTTTAGTTGGTAGAAAAAATTGTTCTTAGAGTTGGAGGGGTAGAAATTTATATGTTTCTCACACTCGTGGTATGCGAACAAACTAGTATTCGCATTTCCTATATGCGAACATCTTTACGTAAGTAATTAGTTCAATTTAAACAAATAATATCAACAAAAGAGATAACTCAAATCAAAAGTGTGGGCCATCACACAAATTTCGCAATCGACAAATGCGAACATATTAATATATGATGAATTAAACCAGACACAGAAAGGAAAGAGAAAAGTGTGGGCCATCACAAAACCTTCGCATTTCATGAATGCGAATATATTAATATATGAATTATTAAAGGAGACACGGAAGGAAGAAAAAAGATGTGAGTCATCATAATGTTTTCGCATTCAACGAATGCGAACAACAAATTATAGGTAATAAAAAAAACAAAATTATCTTTTTATCATATTAAAATCTGATTGGTCAATATCTTATCGACACGTGGCAATTGCTGACAATTTGGATAAATGTTCGCATTTAGCGAATGCGAATGTGATGCCTAGACTCATAATTTAAAACTCATCAACCCTCCCCCCTCCCCGCCGAAATTCGGCAGAACTAAAAACCATCAAGTCTTCTTGCATTCAATTGAAATTTTCATTCGGGTGGAAGAGGCGGAGCAGGAAAGAGGCATTTTTCAGATTGAAGGTTGGATGGTTGGACGGAACGGGAACAGGACAGAGGCAACCCATTTAGGTAAGTTTTTTTTCTCTATGAAATTTGTAAAATTTATACATTCTATTGTTATTTGGGGCTATTAATGTTGTTGTGGTGTACGAAATTACTAAATTTAATAATTTCGGTAGTTATTGAGAATTGGTTTTAGAAAATTTGCTTCAATAAATATATATTTGATGTAGAATGAAGAATAAAAATTATTTTTGTGATGTGAATTGTTGAATTTTGTTGAATATTATGAGTTATTTTATTAATTTAGAGAATAACCCGGTTGATCTCGAATTTTTGTCTTTATATCTCAATTTTGTGAATTTTATATTCCGACCCAATTATT